ACAGTTGTGTTCAAAGTAAATTTGGCCTTTGTCTAGCTTCACAACCCAGAAAGGTCATAACAGTCTCGCATCTGCGATAACCCCATCTACCTAGGACGGCTTCAATCCCCATCAAAGTCTCACCCACTACTACTTCCATCTGTCACAGTCTCCATCTTCATCAGTCTTCCTTCATCCCTCACAACCTCCATCCAGCTATCAGAGCATCCATCCAACGTCAGCACTGTTTGTCCGTCACAGTCCTCACCCCACCAAAGTCTTCATCCATCACAGCCTCTGTTTATCACGGTCTCCATCCACAGCAACCTGTATCAGTCTGTTTATAAGGTTCCATCCATCCTCACAGGCTCCATCGTGAATCCATCCGTCACAGTCACCATCTGTCCATCAGTCTCTGCTCCCCCATCAGAGCCTCCTTTCAGGTTCCACAGTCACAATTCCCATCACAATCACTGTCCACCACAGTCTGCATCTGTCTGTTGTTCCATCCATCCCAATCCCAACCCCTATACAGTCTTCATCCATACATTACAGGTTCTGTTAATTCACCATGGTCGTAATTGCCATCAGAGCCCCTTCCTATCCTTCACTCTCACCATCTCCTTCCATCCATCGTTCTCTACCCACTCATTCGAGTCTCCATCTGCTCACTAGTCTAGCTGTCTGTCCGTGGCTGTTTCCATCCATCAACCAGGTGTCCACCCACAAACCTCGATGTACATATATCACAGTCTCTGTCAGATACTCCCACTGTGTCAGGGAAGTCAAGGACCTCCCTTTCTGTGTTTCTTGCCTTATTCCCCTTACTCTGCAAACAGGGATTCTAAGGCTCAGAGAACCGAACTAGCTAGCTTAGAAGTCACATGAATGAGAGATGACAGAGTTCAGATTGTCAGGCTGCTTCTTTTCCATCATAAAGAAAGAAATTCAGGTAATATACCGCAACTTGGAAACTTCACATTTAATTACTGACAGGCCAGAACAGACAGTTATTTTTTTTTCACAACACAAAAATTCGACTAGTAGGGAAGTTCTAAACTAATGACTTTCATGAGATTTTCCTTTTTCCATTTCTAATACTACTTCTATCTACCTACATCCTTTAAGACTATCTAGTGGGGCTGTCTTAGGCCGTGTGATTATAGTTCCCCGTTTCTGGTTTCTGTCTACCTTCAGCCAGAGCTGCCTGGTCTTGCCCACACTCTCCCCTATTATTCTCATTTCTATTTACTTCCCCTCCTCCATTTTTTTTCTTTTTTTTAACCACAAAACTAATCACCATGCTTACTCTGTTTTTTTCTATACCACTCATACCTTCAGTAACTAATATCTGTGCCAGGGCATAGATCTGGAAATCATGGGACAGCTTATACAAGTCAGGTCTCTCCACCACTAAGGACTTAAGCTGGCAGCAGGCTTGGCAGCAAATGTATTTACCCACCAAGCCATCATTCCAGGCCAATTCACTTCTTTAAATGATTGGAGTCAAAGAGATAGTTGCTATTTAACTGATCTTTACTGTATTATCATAGTAGTTCTTGTGCTCATTAGCATCTGCTAATAGTGATTGCTTTTATGAAAAGTATTCTACTTTCTATTTCTAGAGTAACACTATGGAACTGAGCCTAAGGCCCCAAGTGCTAGTCTATGAGTCTAACTACCTAGCTAGACTCCCCAGTCCAATGGAGAGAAACGACAACTTAACTCTACTTCAAACTAGTCTTTCTTGAATGTTGGAGGCACTTCCACTAAAAGAATAAGGGTTATGTTTTAATTCAGTAAATTACCTGATCCCAAATGCATAAATCTCAATTAAACAAAAACATTAAAAATATGAAAAGTCGAGGAAACATGACTCTCCAAAAAAAAAAAATTACTAGCCCCACAGTAATACCCTGCAATGAGAAGGAATTAAATGAAATCCCAGGCCAGAAAAAAAATCAAAAGGATTATTATAAATATGTTCAAAGAAATCAAAGAGTGTACAGAAAACTCTTCATCAGATTGAAAGGAATGGAAATACCTGAATAAAATAAGGAAGTCAACACAAGATATAAAAAAGGAGTTCACTAAGGAGATAGAAATACTGGGGGACAGGTCTTCTAAAAAGACCAGTAGAAGGTACATATCTCAACATGATTATACCTATATACAATGAACCTATAGCCATCATATATCAAATTGGCCAAAGCTAAAGTCATGACCAAGACAAAAGTGTCTAGTCTTACTAAAAATAGTGCTTGAAACTACAGCTAGAACAGCAAGACAGGAGAAGAAAATAAAATGGATACAAAAAGAAATCAAAGACATCAAAATGTCCTTATTTGAGAATTATATAATCCTATATAAAAGAGACCCTAAGGACTATATCAACGAACTCTTAAGTCTGATTAAAACTTTTGGCAAAGTGGCAGAAAATGAAAAAAAAATGTGCAAAAATCAGTGCCCTTGTTATATACCAATAACAAACAAGTTGATAAATAAATCAAAAAAACAATCCCACTCATACCTTGAAATATACCTAGCCAAGAAGATAGAAGATCTTTACAAAGAAGACCTTAAAACATTTAAATATGAAACTTAAAAAGACACTAGAAGATCAAAAGAACTTCCACATTCACAGATTGGAAGCCATAATGTTGTGGAGAGGGCTATAATTCCCTCTACAAATCTCATTCAATCCTCATCAAAATTCCAATGTTATCTTTTTAACTTTTTATTGGTTCTTTGTGAATTTCATATCATGCACCCCAATCCCACTTATCTCTCCTTGTACCCACCCTCCACCCTTGCAACCTTCACTGCAAGAGAGGAAAAAAAAATGTCACTGTAGAAGCTGTAGTGTGTCACAGGGTGTCCCACAGTATACCCTTTCATCCACACATCTTTACTTGCAAATGTTCATTGCAGTGACTCATTGGTCTGGTTCAAGCCAGCTTCTGCTACACTATCAATACTTGAACTACATTGGAACTCCTTTGAGATAACCTGTAGTTGTCCTGTGTCATGGAGATCCTATAGTTTTGGATCAGTAGGACCAACCCCTTCATGAATTCCAGTAGTTGACCTATGGGGTTGATGTTGTGGTAGGCCAATCCAAAGCCCTGAATCTGGGCCTGAGAGGTATCTGAGCTGGTCAGCCTGGTGGCTCCCCCAGTCTCACACCCTGGGGTCCTGCTCATCAGCAACCCCAGCAACTAGAGCCAGCTCTAGCCTGCTGTCCAAGTGAAATGTGCTGCTCACTCTCCAAAGTGTTACAGCTGGTGAGGAACATGACCAGTTCTCCCACTCTCATGACCCTGAGGCCAGCTGTCCCACCTGCCATAGATCTTAAGGGATGAGTGAGGGGAGGAGGGCATCCCTCCATCCATGCCACTGCCCAGCAAAAAAGAGGCAGGGACAGTTTTCCTGTGCTAACACCCTCAGGGATGGCTCACCTGCAACCCCCACATCCAGGGCTAGCTCTACTATGCTGCCCAGGATAGGTGCAGGGCCTACGCTTCCAAGTGCTGCAGCAAGTGAGAGATAGCTACAGCTCTTCTACCCTCATGACCCCAGGGCCAGGTCTTCCCCCTGTCATAGGTAGCAAGGGGTAAAGGGGGAGGCATTTCTCTCTCATCCACACTGATGTCAAGTTGCAGAGCCAGCTCTCCCATATCCATACCCTCAGGGATAGCTCACACACACACACACACACACACACACACACACACACACACAGCCATCAGGGTCAACTATGCTGCAATAGGTCGGGGGCAGGCACAGCTCTCCTACACTCATGTCTCCGTCAAGGCCAATTCAAGGTCAAGGTGGTGTCTACAGCAATAGGGATGGCATACAAGAGGTAGAGCCAGCTCTCCCACACCCATGCCCCCAGGGATGGCTCACCCATAACCCCCACACCCAGGGCCAGCTCTGCTGTGCTGCCCAGGTGAGGTACAAGGTCTGCTCTCCTGCTCATCTCCTGCAACCGATGAGGGGCAGGGCTAGCTCACCCACTCTGATGACTTTGGGGCCAGCTCTCCTGTCTGCCATAGATGGCAAGGGGCAAGGAATTGGCATCTCTCCCTTGCCCGTGTCACCTCATAACAAGCAAGTGCCAGAGCCAGCCCTCCCAAGCTCATGCCCTCAGGCCCAGCTCACCTGTGCTCCTGCCATCATGGTCAGCTCCACTGTGCTGCCCAGGCAAGGTGCAGGGCCTGCTCTCCCAAGTACTGCAGCTGGTGGAGGTGGGGTCAGCTCTCCTGCTCTCATGACCCCAGGGCCAGCTTTCCCACAAGGCCCAGTAGAGGGGTGGAGCCAGTTCTGTATAACCCTCAGGCATCAAAATGCCCCTGCCCTGCAACCCAGACCAGGGACATCTGCTAAGCCTTTGATGGTAACAGACCCTGCACTGCAGGGCCGCAGACCCAGATGTGGCCCCTACTGGTAGCACAGGTCATCACAGGCTACTCACATCAGGGCAGGATGCTCCTCGCTGCCCTCAAGTCTCCAGCTCTGCCTCTCTTCATTGTGCACTGACCCTTCTGCTTCTCTTTCTCTGCCATTTCTCCACCACTTTCTTGCTCCTCTTAGTGGCATCTGGGGTCTCTGAGTGTCATCTCAGGAGTGGTCTCAGGAGTGCTATGCCCTGCTTGGGTGCCAGGTAGGAGTCATCTTTACCATGGTCTGTCCCATATCCCCCACCAGGTCTGCATGGCACAGGACTAGTGGGCATCTCAGGCTAACTCCCTGTCTGGGCCCCTTGACACCAGTCTGGTGATCATCTCAGGTTCTCTCCTGGACTGGCTCAGCCCACAGAAGTGACACCTTGCAAGTGTTATTTGTCTCAGGCTCACACAGGCCCAGGGTCCACCATCCCAGGCAGGATTCTTCTAGTATCCAGCTTGCTCCCACCCTGGGCCTGCTTGGCACCAGACTGGTGGTCATCTCAGGCTAACTCCCTATCCAGGCTCTCTGACTGCAGACTCGTGATCATCTCGGGCTCCCTTTTTTCAGGGAATACTAGGCCACTAATCATCCACAAGTTCACAGGTCAGAACGCTGAATGTAGACACAGCCTCTCTCCTCTCTGCCACCTACTGACGCACATGTGACACAGCAGCCACACCTGAACCGCCTCTAGGGGCAGCCAAATTCATCTGGAGGGGCTGGAGAGATGCTCCAGCCATTAAAAGAGCTCTTGTTGCTCTTCCAGAGGACCCAGGCTTGGTTCCCAGCACCCACATGTTGGTTCACAACCACCTGTAACTCCACTTCCAGGAATCAGATCCCTCTTCTGGCCTCCACCAACACTCCCTGCATGTGGTATTCTTAGATACATATAGGCAAATCATACATAAAATAAAAAATAAAATACTTCAAAAAAAAAATAAGGAAGCACAGAAGAGCCCAGACAGCCAGAGCAATACTGAGCACACAGACGGATGCTGGAGCAATTACCACACGTGACCCCAGGTTATACTGCAGAGCAATAATAATCAAAGCAGCACGGAATTGGCACAGAAGGTGACACATGGATCAATGGACAGAACAGAGAGCGGATTCTGCACCCACAGAGACGGAGCCACCTGACTTTTTGTTTTTTTGGTAAAGATTCCAAAATATACATTGGAAAAAAAAAAGACAGCCTCTTTAACAAATGATGCTGGTAAAACTAATGTCTGCCCTTCCTCAGACATAGTCATAGCAGCTTCATTCATAGAATCTAGGACCTGGAGGTAACCTAGATGTCCCTCAACCAAAGCTGGATGAAGAAAATGTGGCACGTGTATACGATAGGGTATTACTCAGCTGTTTAAAAAAAAATGACATCACGAAATTTGCAGGCAAATGAATGGAACTAGAAAAACGTCATCCAAAGTGAGGTAACCCAGACCCAGAAAGACAAACATGGTCTGAGTACATCCACTTATAAATGGATATTAGCCATAAAGTAAAAGACAGTCGTGCTACCATCCACAAACCCAGAGAGGCTAAGTAACAAGGAGGGCTTAAGGGAGAACGAAACAGCTTCCCTGGGAAAGGGGGAGAAGAGGTTTTGTGGGTGGACTGAGAGTGGGTGGGAATAGGAACAGGGGGGATCAGGTAAAGGAGAGAGAGAAAATACTAGAGAAAATTTTGGGGGTGCGAGGTGGAAACCTAGCACAATGGAAACTCCATGGAATCTACAAGAGTAACCCAGCAAAGACACCTGGGAGTGAGGACAGAGAGCCTGAACTGGTCATCTTCTGCAACCAGACAAGGCCTCAAGTGTTGGGGTTGGTTCACCAACCCAGTCACAAAACCTTTCACCTACAATTTGGCCTCCCTGCAGAGGGTTCTGAGACCAGAGCCTAGCAGAACCATCATCAGAGAAGCCAAAGAGACTTCATCCAGCAGCTGATGGGAGTAGATGGGGATTCCACAGCCAAAGATTAGACAAAGCTCAGAGAATCCTGGGGGGGAGGGGGAAGGGGGAGGAGGAGGAGGAGGGAAGGAGGGGCAGGGGGAGGGGTGGGGGAGGGGCAGGGGGAAGAAAAAGAGGAAGAGAAGGAAGGATCAGAGGTACCAGAGGGGTGAGGGACACCACAAGAACATAGCCCACAGAGTCAACTGACTGGGACTCATGGGGACTCACAGAGACTTGGGGTCTGACCTGGGTCCTCTGCATATATGTTATGGCTGAGTAGCTTGGTGTTCTTGCAAGACGCAGTGGGAGCAAGTGCTGTCTCTGATGCTTCTGCCTGCTTGCAGGACCCTTCTCCTACTGCGTTGCCTTGTCGAGCCTTGGTGTGATGGTATGTTCCTGGTCTTATTGTAGTTTGTTATGTCATGTTTAGTTGATATCCCCAGGAGGCCTGCTCTTTTCTGAGGGGAGGGAGAGTTGGGGTACAACAGAGTGGAGGAAAGTGGATTCAGGCAAGGAAGGAAGAGAAAATTACAATCAGGTTGTAATATATGAGAATTAAAAGAGAAAAAAAGACTGAATGTCAGCACAGAGAAAAGTGAACTAGATCATAACCTCTCACCTGGACAAAGTCAGGCCCAGATGGATCAAAGACCTAATGTAAGACCCGAAATACTCCAGAAAGGAAGGAGGTGTAGGGGAAATGCTTCAAAATGCAGGCACAGACAAGGACTCTCTTAATGGGATTTCAGTCACTCAGAAAAGTATGGAACCAACTGACAGACAGAACCTCATAAGATCAAAACGCAGAGCAAAGGAGGCAGTCAGGTGAAAAAACAACAACAGAATCATCAAGGAAGCCTTTACTAGTGAGCAGGAGCCTGCATGTGCCTACCTCCCCTGTCCCCAGTTCACAAGCCCCACGGCTCAGAAGGATGGCAAGGCCTGCCTCTGGTCCGAGGACAAATGTGTGCAGAAGCCGGTAACCGCGGCTTCCTCCTGGATGTTTACATCATTGGACCGTTCACCTACAGAGACCACCTATAGGACAGCTAACCCCACCCGCTGTGCTGGGCTTAAGAAACCTGCTGAGGTCCCAGCACTAAGGTTCACACAGTCCACCTGATAGTAGCTTCAGTGTCTGTGTGTCTGTTCTTCCTCCATTCCCTAACTGACTCATTCACGTTTAAATACCAGGCCGTGTTAGACACGGCAGATTATTAACTCTGAAGGAGATAAGTGGTTACTGACATACAGTTGTGTGGCTGGCCATATAGCTCAGTGGAAGAGCAAATGGTTAGCATGCACAAAGCACTGGGTTCAATGCCCGTGATCTCTAAAGAGAAAAATTCAATGCTGCCGTGAAAACATCTTGTGTTGTTTTGCTTAAACCTGTGGTCAAACCCAGCTGTACACTGGGGACATTGTCTTGCTGCAGGATGCTGCCCTGTTTCCAGGACATCTCTGCCCACTCAGGCCTTGTTTTATACTCACGGACAGGTTTGCATGGCTGTTCATCACACCGCAGAAGTGATGGTTAAGCCTTGCCCCACATACACACATCACACCCCACCCGCCCCCACCACCAATAAATGCTGAGCCTAGCACTGGCTCGCAGAACTATGAGTCTGTCATGTGTTCTCTCTAACACTTGTGGCTTTCCTTCCTCCTGAAAGCACCCTACTCTTTCCCTATACTGATGCTTGTCTTGCCGCCATTTTGCTAACCTTCATACCTAAACTAAAAGCATGCCTTTCTCTCTTCCTCCCCCTTGTCTCCATGCCAGCAGCTGCTGAGACTTAAAGCATGCCTGTCCTGTTGTTGTTTTTCTCTGAGACTCTAATAAAATTGTCCATGAGCTTCCAAAAACAAAATTGAGCCTAAGTGAATTTGTACGTTATTTTCATAAGAATCCTTTGAAATTTCTGGGCTATGAACATGAGAGCTGGCCGTCCATTCGTGGTAGGGGATAAGAAAACAGACACTTTGCACTTGTCATGCATGGCTTAGTGCATACACACTGCTGATGGCTTTCTTGTTCTGAGTGAACTCTCCAGCCCAGGTAGCCCTGGAGAAGAACAAGGGTGATAGCAGCAGATGCTGACAAGACTTGTGTTTAAGAAGTGTCTTAGTGGGGCTGGAGAGATGGCTCAGTGGTTAAGAGCACTGACTACTCTTTCAAAGATCCTGAGTTCAATTCCCAGCAACCACATGGTGGCTCACAACCATCTGTAATGGGATCTGATGCCCTCTTTCGGTGTGTCTGAAGACAGCTACAGTGTACTCACATACATAAATAAATAAATACATAAATAAATCTTTTTTTAAAAAGTGTCTTAGCCCAGGTGTCCCAAGAAGAAGGAAGAGAGAGGAATGGAGACAAGAGAGGCAAAGACACGGCTGACCATGTGACCCAAAGGACAAGATTAAGCTCAAGGTGACAGCCTTGGTTCCCTCATACCACAAACACATCATGGTTGGAGGGACGTACCAACCAAGTTTGGGGGTGTCTCCTGTCTTCCCAGACCACCAGCACACCTCGTCCTGTCTCTACTCCCGGTTGCTTGTGGTTCCAGGCACATAAGCTCCAGGATTCCAGTTTCACTTCAGGATGCCACAGTGTGCTAGGAAGCAATTATTGTGTTCCTACTGTATGCCAACTGCAACTGTAATCCCCAGAAACCCTACTTTTACAAAACTGCAGCTGGGTACACATCCCTAGAGTGTCATCCATGCCCTGCCTACAAGGTTGGCAGTCCCAGCCTGCATGACTCACACAGAGGATGGCATCTTTTAGGACAGGTTCCTATGTTCCATCGTCGTCGGGGAGGGGCTTATAAGTGGAAGCAAAAGCCAGGGCCAAGCCTAGCGACTCATGCTGGGTCACCATGCTACTGAAATTGCTGTTTGGCATTGTGCCCATCTTTACTGTCAGCAGGGATGGTCTCATAAAGATGTCCACTATAGTAACTCATCTGTGTTGCGTGTTAACTGTTTTCAAGCACTCACTCACTCACAGTCCTCCCCAAAGACAGGCAGTGTTTAAAGACAGGTACCCAGTGCATTTCAACCCTTCCCTCACATGCCTCTGTCAGTTTCTAAAATTCATTGTTCACAGACTTGATGTTTGTGTCCCCGTCTTTCTCTTGTCCCTGAGCCCTCTCCCTGCAGTCAATACCAAGTGCCCCTCAAACATCAGAAGGCTGAGTGCTTATCCTAGCGGCTGGACCGCTGGCTTCCACGATTATGTTCCTACCCATTGCCTTCTTACAGTGTGTTCTCGTCTCTCCTAGCAAATGAAGTAAATTCCCAGAACACAAGACTGTGCAGGAGACCCACAGACCCCAAAGCCAAGGACTGCCAGAGTGTTTGATGTGCCCATGCCTTGCTGAGCAAAGTTTGTTCCAAGGCTTAGCATCTCTGAGAAAGCCTCTATGTGACTTCCAGGGCTACACTGCCACACACTCATAAATCACAGCGACATGTCGTCCGACGCACCTCTTCACAACTGGAATTTGTGCAACTCATGTGAGCCAGAGAACTGGGCTTGTGGGTGTGGCCGTCTGTTGGTAAATGGGAAGATGTCAGTCCTAGAACTGTGTTAGAAAATACGAAGGACTGAAGAAGCTGAAGGGGTTTGTAACCCCATAGGAAGAACAACAATATCAACCTACCAGACCCCCCAGAACTCCCAGGGACTAATCCAACAGTCAAAGAGTACACAGCGGGTACCTATGGCTCCGG